ACCTGCTGGGCTCAGGTGATTCTTCTGCCTCAGCCTTCCAAGTAGCTGGAACCACAGGTGTGCGTCACCACACCTGGCTAATTTTTTGATTTACTATAAAGATGTGGTCTCGCAGTTGTCTCGCCTCCACCTCCCAAAGTGCTGGGATTACAGGCATAAGCCACCATGTCCAGCGGTTGAATGCTTTTTAAACCTTCCCTTTGATGGGGGCAGTCGTTAAGGTGATTGGGTGATGGTGTGTTTCACTTCATCATGAAGGGGCAGGTACTGATAGGTACTGACATCAGGTAATGGATGGCAGGCAGATGGGTGGGTTAGTCACATGACTGTAGCCATGGCGATGAGGTCTGTCATGAAGGTCTTGAAGGACTGATTAGGTTAACTTGGTTTCTTATGCAGGGAGGCAAATATTTGGAATAGAAAAGCTGATTAATACAGAACAACCTGGGGGGGGGGTTGTAAAACAATTTTCAATAGCTACGTCTGAGAAACTGGTTCTGTCCTTGGCTAGTGATTAGAGGGTAAAGTGAACTGCTAGAAAAACATGACAAAGCTAAGCATTGTTAAAATGGCTGCTCTTTGGCTATATTAAATCCATTTTTTGTCATTTCAGGGAAGTACTATAAAAAAGAGGAGGCCGAAATGGGCAGGTCAGTCTCTCAATTCTGTGGAAATGTTTTTATATCACTTAGTTAAATATTTCTTCTTTTGGGTCCCCAAATCTCAAAACTAGCAGAATCTACTAGCAGAAAAACTAATTGCAAAGTTTTTGTTAGTGAGTCATTAAGCATAATATTGAGGTGAGCCTTTTCCATTTCTTGGTTGCCAGGCTGTTAATTCTGACTACAGAGAAATTGTTCTGTCTATATAAATTATATGAGAGTAACTCATTTGAGAATACATTCTCTGCATAAAAATGAAGTGTGAAGTTTGAAGTGCCCATTTTGGCACTCCCACAAAAGGCTTTTCGTTGGAAGAATAGAGTGTGTGTGTGTGTGTCTGAGGGAATTGGGAGGGAGGAACATTTCTGACCTTTATTTTACCTGAGGAAAGGAAATAAGGCATCAAGAGCTCATATCTATCTCACTTCCCAACTTCACCCAATGAGAGAGAAGCTGTAAATCTAATTAGAACTTAAGACATTGCTGTTTCATTAATGGTGAAGTTACTTCATTGAGAACTACATTCTTCTACTTAAGGACCATCTGATATGTGAGACAGGTAAGGTGTGTTGTAGGATGAACTTCATAAGCTGAATTTGGGGCCAGCCATCTCCCTCTCTTTTCCCCCCATAGGACATATGAATATACACATTCCAAGATTAAGATTATTGGATATGCAGGGGTGACTTAAAGGCCTGCCTATATATTGGCTTTTCAAGCAGAGTGTCATTTTCCAATTTTGATTTACTAGAGAAGCACTGTGTGTGAAGGGTTAGCAAGTACTTGACTTGACTGAACTTAGCAATGTTGACAGAAGTCAATGGTATGTTTTGTTATGTCTCCTGTTATGTTTGACTGTTGATCCTTACATAAACTCCCAGCGTTCAGAATCTCAGAGGGCCAAATGGTAGAATTCTAGCACCAAAGCCCCACCCTAAATCCCAGCACAAGTTAGCTGGACCAAGGAGCTATAAGTTATTATTTCCAAGTTTGCCTTGTCTTCTGTTTTATTTTATTTTATTTTATTTTTTTTACTAGCACAGGGAATGCTTTATTCTATCTTAAATGCTTATATGGCTGCTCTCCTGTACCCATAGCTGTTTTGTGTATTCTCCAAAGACCAGCTTAGGAGGTTATTTAAATTTTAACTCCAAAAAACTTTGAAATGGGTAGATAACTATCAAGTTAATATCAGGATAGATAGGAAATAATAGGAGATACTACAGAATAGAAGTTCAATTCCATTTCCCAACTCAATTTTTTCGAAGTCAAAATGTCATTCATAGTGCTGCAGATGTGCTGCAGTGAACCAACTGACAGCTTAAAGCACTCCATCTAATTCCATATTAGCAACATAAAATCTCCTAAATTTGACTATCATGAGCCTCTCATTATTAAATCCCCACATCTACCCTTTCCCTCTGAACTAAAACGAAAGACAATTGAATTCCAAATATGTGCGCCCTCAAGTTTTTTATACTGTTCAGTCTCCTCAGCCAGAAAGTATTTGCATGTTTGTTTACAGTGAGGGTAGCTTCTTTAGCAGCTGCAGTGTGGGCTGTCTTCAATTGGAACAGATTTAGTTAGTTTGGCACCTCCAAAGCTAAATTTTTTTCGATTTCAAGGTAGCTGGTGCCACACCCTTTCAGTATGTCAAAGGGTCTCTGGGATTCTTAAAATTAGCACAGCATCACCTCCACTCCTACAAACCTGGAAAGATAACAAGCAAATTTCCCATCTCTATGCTAAATAGCACAGATGTTGACACATTATACTGTCCTAATCCCCATTATTGCTCCCAGCCAAAAACAGAACAAAAACCTTGGTTTCTGGGGAAAAGGAGGTTTTCAAAGAAGACATTAAAAAAAAAAATCTTTGCCAGGTATGGTGGCCCACACCTGTAATTCCAACATTCTGGGAGGCTGAGGCAGGAGGATTGCTTAAACACAGGAGTTCAAGAACAGTTTGGGCAATATGAGAGACCCTGTCTCTACAAAAAATAAAAACCCTAGCTGGGGTTGGTGGCACACACCTGTATTCCCCCAGGTACTTGGGAAGCTAAGGTGGAAGGATTGCATGAAACCAGGAGGTCAAGGCTGTGGTGAGTCTCTGCATTCTGAGCACAGAGTGGTACTCTGCAGGTACCACTGTACTCCAGCCTGGGCAACAGAGTGAGACTCCGACTGAAAAATGAAAAAATCTTGACGTTAGGCTTTGACAGATTGCTAGTCTGTATTGGCTGTCTATAATCTATAGACTCAGCTGGAAGGAATCAAACATCCAGAGGCTTATAAAGACACTGGTCACCTTCTATAGAAGAGATCTCATCTATGCAAAATGATGCTTCCCTGGTATAGGACACATTCTTTTTCTTGGGCAGTTGATAGAAATTTTCTGAAATGATACACTCAGCCACCAGGTCTCCTAGCATTTCCCTTCATTCTGTATTATCCATCCTGCACTCTTCAAGCTTAATTTTAATTTCTTTTTTGGTCCCTGGTTTCTAGCAACCCACTGCTGAAATGATTGAGTGTTTCTAGTGGCAAAACCTTCCCTCCCTTTTGAGAGAAAGAGTGATCCTCATTTGTAGCAGGCATTTCTGCAGAGCACAGTTTGTGGCCTTGGATTCTCTACAGTTCTGATCTTCCCGATGGTTCTGCTCCTTGATGTCCCAATTATGATCCTGTCATGCTGTGAAATTCCTCATCTCTAAAAATTCTGTCTCTTAGGGGAGCTTTTCCTCCTTTCCTCTCGTTTGTCTCAGCTGGAGAATGACCTTCAACATTCATTGAAGGCCCCTAGAGACCAGTATAGCTTTTACAGCTTACTCCTCAAAACCTTGCCTTCTCTCAGTATTTGAATTTTCCAGGCCTTGCAAGTTCAGTGGCAGCAGACATGCTTCTTTCTGTTACCTATTTGTGTCAAAATGGGCTATGTCTCCAGTGTCCCATTTTCCTCTGTTGTACATTTGTCCCTTGCAGGCATCCTCAGTTGACTAGTTAACCTGCTTAAGTTGGATCTTTTTCTTTCTACATCATGTACAGCTGACATTTCTTAGAATACCTTTTTTCCCTTTTGATTTTGGTCCTAGATGTTTGTTTTGCTAACGTATTTATGCCTTTCTTTCTTTCTTTTTTTTCCCCCAAGTTGGAGTCTCATTCCTTGCCTAGGCTGGAGTACAGTGGCATGCTTACAGCCACACCAGCATCAACCTGCTGGGGCTCAGGCAATCCTTCCACCTCAGCATTCCAAGTAGCCAAAACTACAGGCACGCATTACCACACCAGCTAATATATATATTTTTTAATTTATTGTAGAGCTGAGGTCTCACCAAATTGCCCAGGCTATTCGCGATCCATGGGCTCAAGCAATCCTCTCACCTCAGCCTCCCAAAGTGCTGCGATTACAGGCTTGAGCCCTGGGCCCAGCCTATGCCTTTCTTACAGAGTTTCCCCTAGTGGAAAGTAGGTGGTTCCATTTATTTAGGATTGATTTAGTTACTGCCAGGCTTCACTATCCTCAGAAAGGTAATTCTAATTATGTGGTCGTCCAGCATCTAACTTATGCCTGGACTACTTTGGGGTTATTTGACTCCTATTAATGTGATCCAGTACTCTTCCTTAGAGTCTTAGTTCAGCAAACTTCCCAGTTCTACTATCGTATACCACACCTGTCTTCCCAGCAATATTGCTTTGAAAATTATTTAACAATGCAAGAAATACTCTATTGCTGATCTTCCTCCTTTTCCTTTTTCAAATCTCTCTGAACCTATCATAATCGCCTGGTTTAGTTGTCCCAATCTTTAAGGAAAGTCCTCTGTTTTTTTAAAAAAAATTCTTTGAGGTATCTTTTTCCCCCCAAGGGAAATCTTACAAAATTTTCATAATTCATCTACTCCTGAATTCTTACTTCTCTTCCTCCATTCTTCTTTGATCCATACCATATTTCTTGAATAAACAAAAGCTATTTTTCTCTTATTCCCATCTTTTAAAGAGCAGTTATCTAAAGTGTATGTTCTTTCCATTTCAAAGCTGTTTGGCCTCACTTGTCATGGTTCCCCCTAAGGAAGGAAATCCCCCTTTCCTCTCACGTAGTCTGGGTATCTTCATTTGTTTTTCTCTCACTTTCTCATTGGACTTATTCTAATTGTGCATATGTTTAAGTTCAATCCTGTTTTTCTTTGCTTTTCTGAACAAACTCAATTCTTAGAGCGGTCTTTTAAATTTTTCTCTTAGCCTTTGGATTTTTTATGGCTTTATTGAGACTTTTCTAGTAACTAAATCCAAGATGATGATGTATCCTATATAATAAGGGCTCCGTTTCCCTTTATCTTTTTAGTGATTTAAATCCACCACCCAACTATAGTTTAATGTGCTTAGGAATTTATACCCAGTGCTAACTTGAAATCACACTGGGAGGTACTGATTGCCGAACCCTGTTGACAAGCCACAAAAATCCAAAGGTTAGTCATTCCTTAGTCACCTCCCCCTTGAGATATGTTGAAGACTAGAATTTGAGACAGTTGATTGGCATGCCTCCTCCTAATGGCAGCACATGTTGTCCAAAGCTAAAACCTCACACAGTGCTCTAGAACTTACATGAGCCCAGCTGTCTTTTACAGTCCTGCCTGAAAAAACTGATACAGAGCAAAAGGTCATCATCGTACCAACAGATCCTAAAATGCCTGCCTGACTTGAGGTAAGCCTTTCCTAGAACTGAAGGACTTTTTCTGCAAAAGCCTCCAAATCTTTTTTTTTTTTTTGAGTTGGAGTCTCACTTGGTCGCCCAGACTGGAGTGCAGTGGCCGCTCCCGGCCACCGGGGCTCTGGCAATCCTTCCACCTTAGCCTTCCGAGTAGCCAGAATTACAGGCATGCGCTACCATGCCCGGCTGATTTTTTGATTTACTGTAGAGATGAGGTCTCGCTGCCCAGGCGGGTCTCGAACCCGCGGGCTCAGGCAATCCACTCACCTCAGCCTCCCAAAGGCGCAGGATTACAGGCTGAGCCACCGAGCCCGGCATCTCCAAATCTTACAAGCACCAAAGTGTCTTCCTCTGTGATGCTTTGAGTGTCTATGCATATGGGTTGGAGGATCCTTCACTACTGGTTCTGAACAATTGAAAAGTAGATACAAAAGACAGATAAATTAAGGATGAAGACAGACTAGAGGACATGGCTTTGCCCTGAGCATAAAATTGAGCTTTCTGTCCTTTCTCCCCTAAATTAAACTTATCCACCCAGTCTGAGATAGAGCAGCTGTTGAATAGGTACAGTCCTCTCCTGCCAGAGGGGCAAGTCTACCCCAATGAGCTGTGTTTCATTTTGGAGGCAGACTCAGACTCAGGGAACAAGAATGAGCCCAAAGGCCTGGCTATGTGTGGTCAGTGACCTCTTCTGCACTCTTGTTCGTCCCATAGTCACCCTTCCACATGTGATGGATAGAGAAAAGGACTGAAACTTCTTTCCCAGTATTTACCTTCACAGAGGAAGAGGAGCGAGTACCTTATGAGTGAGGGATCTAATGTTTTCCCTAGCTAGTTATTTCAGTCTTATTTTCCATTATATGATCTCTTACCACATCTCTTATTTTAAATTAATAGACCATATTTCTTTTTTTTTTTTTTTTTGAGTCAGAGTCTCACTCTGTAGTCCAGACTGGAATGCAGTGGCACACTCAGGGCCACTGTAACCTCAGCCTGCTGGGCTCAGGCAATTCTTTTACCTCAGCCTTACAAGTAGCTGGAACTACAGGCATGCACCACCATGTCTGGCTAATTTTTGTGATTTATTGCAAAGACGCGAGGTCTCACTAAGTTGTCCAAGCTGATCTCAAACCCCCAGGCTCAGGTAATCCTTTCTCCTCGGCCTCCCAAAGTGCTGGGATTACAGGCTGAGCCACTGTGCCTGGCCTAGACATTATTTCTTAGAACAGTTTTAGATTTATAGAAAATTTAAGGCTGAGGTGAGTGAATTGCCTGAGCCCGCGGGTTCAAGACCTGTCTGGGCAGGTGAGACCTCATCTCTACAATAAATCAAAAAAATTAGCTGGGCGTGGTAGCGAGCACCTGTAGTTCCAGCTACTGGAAGGCTGAGGTGGAAGGATCGTTGGAGCCCAGCAGGTCCAGGCTGCAGTGGCCAGGAGCATGCCACTGCACTCCAGCCTAGGCCACAGAGTGAGACTCTGACTCAAAAAAAAAAAAAAAAAGAAAATTTAAGCAGAAAGTACAATGTTTCCATTTTTCCCCTCATGTCTCTTCCCACACGCAGTTACTCCTGTTATTAACATCTTTCATTAGTGTGGTATGTTTGTCACAACTGATGAGTCAATATTGTTTCATTATTATTAACTAAAATCCATAGTTTACATTAGGGTTCACTCTTTGTGTTGTACATGTTATATAGGTTTTTGAAAAACATGTATCCAACATTACAGTATCATACAGATAGTTTCCCTGCCCCAAACATCCCTGGTCTCCATCTTCTCACCACATTTTTTTAAATAGTGTCTTTATCATATATCAAATTCCCATTTAATGACAATCCCTCATATTTCTTATGTTTATTTCTCAATATTTAATCATTTTGTTTGCTGTGACTTGGGATTTTTTTTTCCTCATTTGTGTTTCTTTATGCCTTATCATTCACATATAGAATAGCTAATCCTACTGACTTTTCTTTCTTTTTCCTTTTTTTTTTTTTTTTTTTTAGCTTATACAAGAAGCATTTATTTCTCACAGTTTTAGAGGCTGGAAGTTTGGGGGGGAGGGGTAGGGGGAGGAACTCATGTTATTTTGATGTGTCAGGTTAATTTATCTTTATTTTGTTACTGATTTGGCTAAAATTTCCAGAACAATACTAAATGATAATAATGACAAGGATATGTATACCTTGTTTTGAACTTGAATGAGAATGCCTCTCCTGTTTTACCATTACAGGTGATGTTTGCTGTTGATTTTTATTTTATTTTATTTTTTTGAATTGACAAATAATAGTTGATTAGAATCTTTATCATCTCAAACAATTATCATTTCTTTGTGTTGAGAACATCCAATACCCTTTTTCTAACTATTTAAATCAGTCATTCATTCATTTATTTTTACTAGAGGTCTCTGTTGCCCAGGCTGGAGTGCAGTGGCACAGTCATGATAACCACAGCCTTGTCCCACAGGGCTCAGCTCAGGTGAATCTTGTGCCTTAGCCTTCTGATAGCTGGAACTACAGGCACGTGCCATACTTGGCTTATTTTTTAATTTATTGTAGAGACGAGATCTCGCTATGTTGCCCTGGCTGGTTTTGAACCCCTTAACTCAGGCAATCCTCTTGCCTCCGCCTCCCAAAGTATTGGGATTACAGGTGTGAGCCACTGTGCCCTGCTTATTATTGTTAACTATAGTCATCCTACAGTGATATAGAACACTACAACTTATTCCTCCTAACTAGCAGTAATTTTGTATCCTTTAACAAATCTCTCCTTATTTCTTCTTTCCCAGTCTCTGGTATCCTCTATTCTCATTTTTGCTTCTATGAGATCAATTTTTTTAACTTCCATATATGAGTGAGAATATGCAGTGTTTAACGTTCTGTTCCCAGCTTTTTCAATTTTTTAATTTATTTATTTTAAGTTGGGTCTTACTTTGTTGCCCAGGCTGGAGTACAGTAGCATGATCATGGCTCACTGAAGCCTTGATTTCTCGGGCTGAGGCAATTCTTTGGGCTCAGGTAATCCTTCTGCCTCAGCCTCCCAAGTAGCCAGGACTACAGGCATGTGTCACCACGCCTGGCTAATTTTTTTTGTAGAGTCGGGTTCTCACTATGTTACCCAGGCTTGTCACCTGGGCTCAAGCAATCCTCCTGTCTCAGCCTCCCAAAGTGCTGGGATTACAGGTGTAAGCCACCACACCCAGCCCCAGCTTATTTCACTTAGCATAATGTCCATCGGTTCCATCCATATTGATAAGAATGACAGGATTTTATTTATTTGTTTGTGTTGCCTTAAAAAAATAAGGATTTTTTTTTTTTTTTTTTGAGTTGGAGTCTCACTCTGTCACCCATCTGGAGTGCAGTGGCTGCTCCTGGCCACCGCATCCTCGACCTGCTAGGCTCCGGCGATCCTTCCGCCTCAGCCTTCCAAGTAGCTGGAACTACAGGCACGCACTACCACACCCGGCTAATTTTGGATTTATTGTAGAGATGAGGTCTCACCAAGTTGCCCAGTTGGGTCTCGAACCCGTGGACTCAGGCAATCCACTCACCTCAGCCTCCCAAGGCACAGGATTACAGGCTGAGCCACCGAGCCTGGCTAGAATTTTTTTAATGACCGAATAGTATTCCATTTGTGTATATATACCACATTTTCTTTATCCAGTCATCTATTGTTGAACATCTAAGTTGATTCCATATCCTGGCTGTTGTGAATTGTGCTGCAGTAAACACGAGAGTGCAGATGTCTCTTTGATACAATGATTTCCTTTTCTTTATATGAATACCTAGTGGTGGGATTACTGGGTCATTTGGTAGTTCTATTTCTAACTTTTAGAGGAACCTTTATATTTATTATTATTATTATTTTTATTTTTAGTAGGAGTCTCACTCTGTCGCCAAGGCTGGAGTGCAGTGGCACACTCACAACCATCACAGCCTCGACCTTCTGGGCTTAAGTGATCCTTCTGCTTTAGCTTTCCAAGTAACTGGAACTACAGGCACGCACCAACATACCGAACTAATTTTTTGATTTATTGTAGAGATGAGGTCTCGCCAAATTGCCCAGGCTGGTCTTGAACCCGTGGGCTCAAGCAATCCTCTCACCTCAGCCTCCAAAGTGCTGGGATTATAAGTGTGAGCCACCACACCCAGCCTTATGCTGTTCTTCATAGTGGTTGTTCTAGCTTAAATTCCCACCAACAGTGTTTGAATTCCCTTTTCTCCACATCCTTACGAGCATTTGTTATTTATTTTTTATTTATTGAGTTGGAGTCTCACTCCGTCGCCCAGGCTGGAGTGCAGTGGCAGGCTCACAGTCACCCCAGCATCAACCTGCTGTGCTCAGGCGATCCTTCCAAGTAGCCAGAACTACAGGCATACGCTACCACACCCAACTAATTTTTTTGATTTGTTGTAGAGATGAGGTCTTGCCAAATTGCCCAGGCTGTTCTCAGATGTTATTTATTTTTATAATAGCCATCCTAACTGAGATGAAATGATACCTCACTGTGGTTTTGATTTGCATTTCCTTGATGATTAGTGAAGTTGAGCATTTTTTCAAGTATTTGTTGACTCTTTTGTATGTTTTCTTTTGAGGTATGTCTGTTCAGATTATTTGCCCACTTTTTTTTTTATTGCTGTTGGTTTCTCATGAATGATCTTTAGTATACAGACACATCATTCTATTTATTAAAGGGTCTTGGGAAATATATATTTAATTTTATTATGCATTCTTTTAACATCTATCAGTTTTTCAGTTTTTCTACATGGAAATTTTCTGTTTTAACCTGTTGACATGATGAATTATGTTAATAGAATCATTGTTTCTGAGCCCTCTTTGCCTTCCTAGAATAGTAGTTGATCAATACCCTTGTGAATTCAGTTAGCAAATATTTGACAGATTTATAAGTAAGTCCCAAAAGGAAGAAAAAAAGTGCAAAGAAAATGTGATCAGAATAGCAACTGATGCTTCAACTGGCAGTTAAAGAAAAAAGAAGACAGCAAGGAAGCACAATAGCATAAAAGAAGGCAACATATATAAGATAAAACATGTTATAATATGAAACATCGAATTAAATCCTACTAAAAATAGTCTTAGAGGATGAGAACTTCAAGGCTGGTTGGTCATGGTGGCTCATGCTTGTATCCCAGCACTTTGGGAGGCCAAGGTGTGAGGATTGCTTGAGGCCAGGAGTTCAAGAACTTGAACAAATTCTTGAACTCAAGAACAACAAAATCTATACTGTTTATAAGAGACAAACAATAATACAGATAAAGCTAATACAGGCCAAGCTCAGTGTCTCAGCCTGTAATCCCAGCACTTTGGAAGATCGAGGCGAGTGGATTGCCTGAGCCCTCGGGTTCGAGACCAGCCCGGGCAACTTGGCGAGACCTCGTCTCTACAATAAAATTTTTTAAATTAGCCAGGTATAGTAGCGCACCTGTAGTTCTGGCTACTTGGAAGGCCGAGGCGGAAGGCCTGCCGGAGTGAGACTCCAACTCCAAAATAAAAAAGAAAGAAATATAAAGATAAAACAAATATGGGGGGAAGATACAAACAGGAATTGCACATTTTTTTCATAAGTGTAACCAGTAAACATGTATTATACTAAGGTTTTTTTGTTTTACATTTCTCACTCTTCAACTCACCTAGAACTTATGACCTCTCGTGGTCTCCAACTTACCTGGGTCTTTATCTCTTTCCATTTCCTATCTGTGAATATACCTTTTCTTTCTCTCTCTTTTTTTTTTTTGAGTTGGAGTCTCACTCTGTTGCCCAGGTTTGAGTGCAGTGGCACACTCACGGCCACTGCAGCCTTTACCTGCTGGGCTTAGGTGATCCCTCCACCTCGGCTTTCTGAGTAGCTGAAACTACAGGCACACACCACCATGCCTAGCTAATTTTTTGATTTATTGTAGAGATGAGGTTTCGCCAAGTTACCCAGGCTAGTCTTGAACCTGTGGGCTCAGGCAGTCCTCACCTTCACCTCCCAAAGTGTTGGGATTACAGGCGTGAGCCACCACTCCCGGCATGAATATACCTTTTCTAGCTCATTGATATCAGGAATGACCTCTCCTCCTTTGTCAGTTCCATCTCTTATTGAAAACCAAGTTACTTAGTTTTGCTACTTGGCATTTTTCAGTGTTACATTTGACTGTGTAGTATAGTCAAGTAAATGTTCCATTTGGATACAAAAAGACTCTTCCACTTTACCCAAACACACAACATTAATATCCACCTGGAGGTTAATTAGATGAAAACTCAGTTGCTGTACAAAGATATCCATTCTTCCTTTGGTGCCTGTGAAGTAATTCTACTTATAAACATTCTTTTTTTTTTAAAAATTCATTTTTTATTTTAAAGATGTGGGGAACAATTCAGGGTTAGATACAGAAGTGGTCATCATCGTACGGGTAATGTGAGTACTCTTATTGGTGTTATGTGCCCCTCCCGGCAGTGTCCCACTACAGCCAATTCCTTTCTTATAGTATTATAATAATGTTCGGGGCCCACTTATGAGTGAATACCTGTAGTACTCAGATCTTTGTTTCTGTGATAAATCATTGAGTATTATAGACCCTAATTCCATTCAAGTTGCTGTGAAGTTCATAATTATAAACTTTCTATCTTGAGTTTGCCTTGGAAATGCTTTTACTGTATTTTGGTTTAGCCCTGTGTTTTATTGTAAGTTGTCAATAGCCATAGATTCCTCCCCTTTGGGAACCCTATGATCTCATATAATCTGGTTTGCTTTCTATTTTTATCTTCTCCTCTCTCTCTCTCTCTCTCTCTCTCTCTCTCTGTCTCTCAAGCAACTGTAGCTTGATTTTGCTACTTGGTATTTTTCGGTGTAATATGTGGCAAAATCTCCTGAGAGCTCTGCCTACTCTGTGCCTCCTCCCCAAATAAAAGAAAAACAAATTTAAAAATTCAAGACATGGCCAGGCTCAGTGGTTTAGCCTATAATCCCATCACTTCGGGAGGCCGAGTTGAGTGGATTGCCTGAGCCTGCGGGTTCAAGACCAGCTCAGGGAATTTGGGTTCGAGACCAGCCTGGGCAACTTGGTAAGACCTCGTCTCTACAATAAATTAAATATTAACCATGTGCAATAGCACGCACCTGTAGTTCTGCTACTTGGATGGTTGAGGCAGAAGGATCACCAGAGCCCAGCAGGTTGACGTTGGGGTGGCCATGAGTGTGCCATTGCACTCCAGCCTGGGTGACGGAGTAAGACTGTGACTCAAAAAATAAAAATAAAAATAAATAAAAATTCAAGACACTACAAAGGTAAAAATAGCTTTAGCTATAGGTAATCTGCATATAATTTCTAAGCAAATAATCTTTAAGCTTTATAAGAAAATCTTCAAATGTGCTGTAAATGTTAAGTTTTGTTCATTTCTTAGCCTACTATTTGGGGCCCATTTTTCTCTCTCATTCTAAATATTACTTTTTATTTTTATTTATTTTTATTCACAAAATAATAAAGTAGGAAATAGCAGTAATTTATCAGAAACTATATCAATAGTTGTAATTTGCAAAATGTAAATCTTTGAACTAAGCCATTATTTATATTTGTGAGTGATAGTTGTTTTTACTGTTTTTATTATTTGTCTCATATTCCCAGTACCTAGGTTCGTGCTTTACACATTATATGCACCAAATTTTCTGTGAACCGAACCTGTGCATATTGCTTTTTACTCCATTAAGATGTTAACATTCTATTTGACAAAAATGACATTTGTTTTTCCCTAAGTCATTCATCAGGGTTCCAGTAATTCTTTAATTTTTTTCTATAGTATTCCATTTTCCCCACATTTTTATTAGGTATTTACTCAAATCTGCTTTCTTTCAGCAGTCTAGAGTGACACTATTTTGGCCTTTGTCAGAAATCACATTTTAAAACTGGCTGCTCTCCAGCATCAGAAATGCATTTGAGAGAAGTGTTATTTAAGGAAAGATATCTGAAGGGATATTCAGTTCATGCACTTTGTGTATTCTGAGTTGTTTCTGTTACAGGTTAGATTTGTGGAAGCTACTTTCTTGGGAAGTGCAAATGTACGCTCTGGATTTCTATCAACGATAGATAAAATAAATCACCTGGGAGCAGTAGCTCACACCTGTAATCTCCGCACTTTGGGAGCCCGAGGCAGGAGGATTGCTTGAGTACAGAAGTTTCAGACCAGTCTAAACAATATAATGAGACTTTGTCTCTAAAAACAAACAAAAAAATTAACTCTGTGTGGAGAAGCTCCTGTGGTCCCAGCTACTCAGGAGGCTGAAGCAGAAGGATTGCCTGAGCCCTTGAAGGCTATGGGGAACTGTGATCATGATCATGCCATTCCAGCCTAGGGAATAGAGTGAAACCCCAATTCAAAAAGAGAAAATAAATAATATAAAAACTGATTGTTGTGTTTGAAAACTTGTCAGGGGCACTGCCATTATATAATTTAATTTTCCCCAGAAAGCTCACCATGAAAAATATCTTAGAATTTGTGTCAGAAAAAAAGTTTTGGCTTCCCTGAAGGATCAGCAGACTTCGCTTCTGATTATAAGGAACTTTTTCTCTTGACTTTTGGAAAGTTCGGTGCCAAATTTTGATACTGCATGGCAGCAACTCTGTTTAAGTCCTTCCTGAATGTGTCTTATAAAGAAATTCTGTGCTGGGAAAAGACTGGATTTAAGTAGATAATAGAGATAAAGCATTTGTCAAGCATCTGTTTTATATGTATTGTTAAGCCAGACCTAGTGAGCCTCAACTTTCTGTGTTTTTCTTGATTAGAAAACATTGTGTGATGTGATCCTCATGGTCCAGGAAAGGAAAATACCTGCTCATCGTGTTGTTCTTGCTGCAGCCAGTCATTTTTTTAACTTAATGTTCACGAGTAAGTATCTTAAAGTAAAACATGCCATTATTTTTTTCTGTGAAAAATGAGGTGGAGTCTAAATGAAAATGTCATTTTTCCTAGTTTTTAAAGGAGTTTGTCATAGAACAGTGAAGAGATTGAAAAGTGGTCAGGTGATGATTGAGCAAAAGAAAAAAATGTCCCTTTATTAGACCTGATGGCCTGATGCCTTTATGGATGGAGGTACTGTTCTGCTTGGATGCCCAGGGTTTTCATCTTAACCTTGGGTGGAAAGGCAGAGAAGCAGATACATCTCATGACATTTTATCTAGCAAGTTAAACTTTAAACAAAAAGAAGGAGAAATGAGATATCACATATATACTGGAAAAACCCTAGATTTGGAAGTTGAAAACTGGGTCAAGGCCCTGGTTCCTTTACTTAGTACTGTTTTATGAGCTGATTGGGTTATAAAATGTAATTGCCTCACATTCTTTCTCTCTTCCCTCAGCTACCTACCATTTTCGGAGGAATGACAGTTTTGCAAGCTAAAGATGACTATCTGTGTAATTGTCATTGTTCTTGTAGGTTTGTTTCAACTACCTCAGAGGCATTTTGCTCATACCGATTTAAAAGAGTGCTACTAAATATTTTAGGAGTTGGGGAAAAACCAAATCTAGTTTTATGTCTCTGTTTATTTGAGCTTTTTTAAAAAAGAAGAATACTAATTCACTGTTTTCTAAGATTAATTTAAGACACATCTCAAGTGTGAAGAATTAATTTGCATTTGTTATAGGAATGTTGGCCTTGCTAGGATAGGATATTTTCTTTTTCTTTTCTTTTTTTAGAGATGAGGTCTTGCTATGCTGCCCAGGCTGGTCTTGAACTCCTGGGCTCTAACAGTCCTTCTGCCTCAGCCTCCCAAAGTACTGGGATTACAGGTGTGAGCCACTGTGCTCAGCTGGGTATTTTCTACAAAAGACACCTGTTACTTTTCTCCATCGGAATGCTCTGGTTCCTCAGTTAGAATTGTTGTAGTACCGATACCATTCATGTTTCTCTCTTCATTGTAGCTAACATGCTTGAATCAAAGTCATTTGAAGTAGAACTCAAAGATGCCGAGCCTGACATTATTGAACAACTTGTGGAATTTGCATATACTGCTAGGTGAGTTAAGAAGGATCATTTTTGTTTTAGAGTAGTGTTGGCATCTCCCATGGCAAAGCATGGTTGTAACAAATTGGTGTGCTACAGATGTCTTCAGATGAAAAACTGCTAGGTGGAAGGAGTTTGAGGATCCTGTGCCATACTAATAGAAGGACTGAAAGTTTAATTTTTTAATTTTAGTGGCTAGTAGGATACATCCCACAGTAACATTTAAAGAATAAAAAATTATGGGAAATTAATATTCACTTTAACTTATTTACAGAATTTCCGTGAATAGCAACAACGTTCAGTCTTTGTTAGATGCAGCAAACCAGTATCAGATTGAACCTGTGAAGAAAATGTGTGTTGATTTTTTGAAGGAGCAAGTTGATGCTTCAAATTGTCTTGGTAAGAAATAGATTCCTGTGTTTTGTTTTTTTTTTAAAAACTTCAATGTGTATTTTAATCAAGAAAAAAAAGCCGGTTATAAGTATCTTCATTTAACCTTAAAGACATTATCCACTAGAATATATTCTAGTAATAAAATTTAATAGGAGCTTAGAGAGATGCATATTAACTTGGGCAGCAACAAGCTAATTAAATATTGTGTCAACATTTTCTAAAATGTAAAGTGACATTTATAATGATTTTTCATGTATCTAAGATAAATATGAATGTTTGCTTTTATTTATGCTAACGTTTGTCACAGATGAGGATAACCTAAATTGCCTGATCCCACATGTCTAGTAAATGAAGGAACTGGGATGGGAATTCAAGTAATCTAATTATTAGCTACTACACCATGCTGCCTCTCCATATTGTCAAATATGCTAGCTGTTTTATTCTAGAAAGCAAAAAAATCCTAAGCTGTAAATTAAGATACTAATTGAGAGACAGCTATAATATTCTATTTTGAAGCTATTAATAAAGTATTTTCTATTTTATGATAGGAGAAGCAGAAAAAGTTGATAAGAGTTTTCCAGAGTGTGGAATGCTTTTCACTGCGAGATGGTCCTTACTGTCAAATGAATGAACATCTTTGTCTGGACAAATCTTTGTCCAGTGGTCCACCCTTATCTGCAGGATATGTTCCAGGACCCTAGTGGATGCAGATAGTACTGAACTGTGTAAGTGTAGGAGTAATGTATAAAAATACATTACACTCTTACACTCACACTATGTATACATACACACACACATACACAAAATTTTTTCCTATACATATCTACCTACAATAAAGATTACTTTATAAATTAGGCACATTAAAAGATTAGCAATGAAAACTAATAATAAATTAGAACAATTATAACAATATGGCTGCATCAATCAATACTCTTGCATTATTTTGGGGTCATTATTAGGTAAAATAAGGGTTACTTGAACATGCACTGCAAAACCGGGACAATCCATCTGAGAACCAAGATGCAACTAAGTGACTGACAAGCAGGTAGAGTATACAACGTGGATATGGTGGACAAAGGGATGATTCACGTCTCAGACAGAATGGAGCAGGATGACATGAGATTTCATCATGCTACTCAAAACAGCACACAACTTTACACTTATGAACTGTTTATTTCTGAAATTTTCCATGTAATGTTTTCGAACCACAGAAAGCAAAGCCACGGATAAGGTGTTACTACTGTAGTTACTTTTTCCTACCCTTGCTGTGATTCTGAGGCTTAAAGAAAGTGAAGAGTGCAGGAGTAGATGTGCTAGGAAGGGCGAGAGGAAAGAAACATGAAATCAAGGAAAGTACAGAGAGGCCCAAGGATCCAGTCAGTGCTAAGATATTGGACCCAGGGAAAAAGATGAGGGGTGGTGATTACAGAGGGTGAGGGACTCCTGGAGATGCTTGAGAGCTTCTGCAAGCCTCTCCCGCCCCTCCTTATTCGAGGCCTCCTTCCTTCTGAACACTCTCCAGTGCTTCTTCCTGCACACACCCCCACTGTGCGTGTAGAGAGCAAAGTCTTGGAAGGCAGATGGGAAGAAAGCAGAATAAATTTCACAGAGGTGTAAAAGCCAGGTGAAGGGGGGATAAAAGTGAGACTGAACTTAATACCCAGAAAAGGAATTGAACTAGATGGAACAGGAGGGGAATCAGCTATGCAGTTGAATATACTGATGGAATTTTTTTTTAAAGGTAGCCCTGGATCTACATATTGAAAAAGATACCTATATTAAGAAATAAAAGGCCAGCCTCTAATCTCATCTATGCAACAGTGACTGGTGTGAGTTCCTCCATCTCTCTGGGCCATAAATGGGGCTTTATTTGTCAATAAGATTAATATTCCAGCCAGAAGCAGTAGCTCCCACCTGTAATCCCAGCCCTTTGGGAAGCGGAGGTGAGAGGATTGCCTGAGTCCACAAGTTAGAGACTAGCCTGAGCAATATAGAGAGAACTCATCTCTACAATAAATAAAATCATTCAGGCATGGTGGCACATGACTGTTGTTCCAGCTACTTAGGAGGCTGAGGTGGAAGGATCACCCGAGCTCAGCAGGTTGATGCTGCGGTGGCCATGAGTGTGCCACTGCACTCCAGCATGGGTGACAGAGTGAGACTCCGACTCAAAAAAAAAAAAAAAGATTTATATTCCTGAGATTTAGTCTTACTTCCCATTATATAAATAAATATTCTTTGGGAATTACTTCATTGAAGTTTTTGGAAGTTTATGGCTTAAATATGTTTGCCTAACTCCCTAGCACTCTAAATGTCCTAGTGGGTTGATTCAACTACAAAGAGAAATGGCTTTAAGACAGGTAGGGATTAGATGTGGTGGTGCAAAGCATGATGTGGAACCTGAAGTGAGTTTGTGCTAAGCACTGCTTAGGCTTTGGGCCTCTGAGGAGACGATTTAGCAGTTGTACCTATGGATGCCTTCTGTCATCATTGTTTACAAAGCTAGGTAGAAGGAAAGCCCAGCAGCCTAGGAGAGAACCTGATTCTTTGGCCAGGCCTGGGCCAGGTGCAGCAGCTCAGTAACTAGGAGAACTGCTTCTACCTGTGTTTTGCTGAGCCCCAGTATGGCATTCACTGCTAGCTGATTAGAGAACTTATGTCTTAGTTTTCACCACCTGTTAAATTCTCTGCTGCTCAAAAAGATTCCGACAATTCGACTTCCACAGGTGCTAAAAGAACCCATGGCAGCTGATGGAGTTTGGCAAAGATTACATAAAGTTAAAGGAAGCCCAGTAGGTTGAGGAACAGAAAACTAAGCTAAACAGCAAAAATGAATGACTCCAATAAGGCAAATTTAATGAAAGAAATGGAAAGGAATTTAAAAATAGACAAGATGCATTTGAAGGAGGAAACAAACATGATTTTCCAGTTTTTTGTTGTTGTTTTTTTTTATTGGTTGTTTTTTTTTGAGTAGGAGGCATACTCTGTCATCCAGGCTGGAGTGCAGTGACACATTCACAGCCACTGCAGCCTTGACATGCTGGGTTCAGGTGATCCTTCCACCGCAGCCTTCCAAGTAGCTGGAACCACAGGCGTGTGCCACCATGCCCAGCTAATTTTTTTTTTTTTTCATTTATTGTAGAGACAAGATCTTGACGTTTTTCCCCAGGATAGTCTCGAACTCCTAGACTCAGGCAATCCGCTCACCTCTACCTCCCAAAGTGCTGGGATTACAGGTGTGAGCCACACTGTACCCAGCGATTTTCCGATTTTTAACATTCAGTTGAATTGAAAAATAGGATGGATATTCCTAAAAAATCAAATTAAAGAAGATCAAACAGAGAAAGCTGTCATGATATAAAACAAAAATGCAAAGAAAATGAAGCCATTAGAAGATAAAAGACATGAGAGGAAATTATAGGAGCACCAACATGAAGGAGGATTTCCAGAAGGAACAGATGGGGGAAAAGCAACAATTAAATAATAACAGATGACTTATTTGAACTTAAAGAAAATACCTTGAATTTTCAGGCTAAGTTATTATTACTACTAGGCCTGATCAGTGAACTAAGATATTTCTCTCTTAGATGTATCCTGATGGTATTTTTCATCTCCAAAGATCAAGAGAGAACGTACGTGTGGGGGGATAAAAAAGTTCTGAATTAGATAGTGGTGATGGGTACTACAATGTTGTTAATGTAGTAAGTATCACTTATGATACATTTTGTGTTTTGTGTATTTTATCCCAATTAGAAATCAGACTGGCCACTGCCTGCTAGCAGCACTGTCTGCTGTCAGGCCAGGCATTGGAGTGGTTGAGCATGCAGGCCAGGCCAAAGCCCCACCGTTGGCACGGCTTGGGCCTCTGCGACCATGGGGATATCTACAGCCAAGGGGGTGTCCATGCAGGTAATCAAGGAGGTCTTGGGAAAGGGCACCATGTGGTTGTGCATCCCCAAATGCTTCGAGCTGAAGGACCTCTCAGTGGGAATTGCTGCAAGACAACATTCTGCAGGGCACAGAAATTGTTATACTAGACAAGGCTATCATTGACCAAGGGAAGCTTATCTCCAGATGGTGTCATGACTTGACTGGCCCTTCGTGGGCTGAAAAATCTCACCCAGTATAGCTGGCTGTTAGACGGTTTTTCAGGGCACTTCCATGGACAGGTGCCGTGGATAGAGCTTATCAGATAAACACCATGATTAACCTGAATTTGCCCTTTGAGGCCATTGAACAATTTCTCACTGCTGGGTGGATTCATTCAGCTAATGGCCAAATCTGTACCATTGAATTCAACACTCCCCAAACTGTGGGCATTGATGATCTGACTGGGAAGCCTCCCATTCATTATGAGTATGGTAGACCAGAGATGGTTATCAAGATACCGAAGGCTTGGAGAGTTCAAATGGAGCCAGCCTAGAATATTACCAGAAAAAAATAGGTGTTGGAAACATTCTCTGGAACAAAAACCCAACAGGATTTGACCCTATGTATATGCTTTTCTACAAACTTGAATTCTATGAACAAACCAGAAAGCTTCAGTTACTCCATGAGGAGAAATGCATATAACAAGCAGGATGAGCAGAATCTCTCTGTTCCTGCATTCTCTTAAGACTCCAGCATGTATGAATTCTTTGAAGATTATTTTCCTTTTATTTCACTGATTTTATTCTGGTCACTAGGGATGAGCCAAATAAGTAAGATACTAAGATAAATATTTTGAAATTTTCTAGTGTTTTTTTATCCAGTTATCTTCTATGGGTGTGCAACTCAAAAACATCAGAGATGTTTAACATTAGAGTAAAATTAAAAGAACAATTGGTAGTAATTTAACTTTTGTTTAGTAAGAATAAGTGATTGATAAAATGTCCATATTATTCTTGAAAAGTTTAAAAAATTAGCCAGGTGTGGTGGCTTATACCTGTAATCCCAGCACTTTGGGTGGCTGAGGCAAAAGGATTGCCTGAGCCAACGGGTTTGAGACTGGGCTGGGTAACATGGCA